ACAGCCAAGTCTTAATGAAGGTTTCATAGAAGATATTGAGGGGACAGTTTATATTGTGTCTCCCACAGCAGACATCTGACAGTTCCACCACAGACATTTCTCTTCAGGTTTCCTTTCCTGCCACATTGCCCACAAGGATTATTTTTTCCTTCCCTTTTCCTTACAGGCTGTTATCTCAGTCTCCCAGATTCTCTCTCCCTCCCTGATGCCCCTACAACTTGTCATCTCTGTTATCAGCTCAGTACCATCTCTGGCCCTCCGACGTTTCCGGGGGACATAACCCAGAAATTGTAGACATCACTTCCATTCACATCCTGTTGACTACAGAGGTCAACAGTTCTCTGTGAAAGAGAAACATAGTTGTTAGTCTGATCACCATGGGTCCAGTTGTATTCTATCACTGTGTAGAAGGGGACAACAGTTATGAAATTCAACTAGCAATTTCTCACATACTTTGTATATTTATGAATATGTATTAGAATATGAAGGACTGTGTGATCGAAGGACTCTGTGAGTTAAGCCTGTGCAAGTGGTTTGAGGGAGTGTTTCAATAAATAGTCGTCATTTCCCTATTGTGACAGATAGAAACTGTGGGTATGTAAGAGTGGAGGATTAAAAACAGAGCAAAGCTGTTACTGCATATCTGGGAGTCAAGAAAACATTTTGACTTACCACAAACAGCCAAACTGAAAGAAGACCCTTGGAAGAGTCTTAGAGAGGCCACCATGATCCCCCCATTCCTGGCCCTGTTCTGTGTAGGTAAGTCTTGGGGGAGGAAAGGGGAGAGCCATTGAAGGTGGTGGTGAGTGGGGTAGTGGAGGCAGCCGGAGTTGGTGTGACTTGGGTAGGTAATGGGGGTCGGATGGATAAGCAAAGAGTAGAAACTTCCGTTTCCTGAATATGTGTTACCTACAAGGAATGTGCTGGGTGCTTTACACACATTTTCCTCTATTTTTCAAATTCAGTCATTCTTGAACTTCCCAATGACATTTTGTTATGTGTATGTGACATCTGTATTCTTTCCTATGTGATATTCTTCTTCAAATTACCTCAGGCTTTTATATTATTATTATTTTTATACTCAAGTCTATTTTCAAAGATTTGTAAAACACTTTTGTTAATGGAAAATTAGTATCCCTTATCAAAAATAGAAAATAGTCATCAGTACACAGTCACAGGGGAAATAATATGATTAAGTTCTAATAGCTATTGCTGCCTGACTGTAAACACAAGCCACATCTTCCTCCAGTATTATTTCTAAGAGATATGAATGAATGCAAGAAATAGATTGGAGACTACACCCAGCTGTGCTAGTCTTCTATGTGATTAAGATGGAGACAGCACTGAGAAGAAAATGACTTTCTCACACAGAGTCAATGTTACTTAATTTTGTGTCTTTGTACAACCTAAAGTCATGTTACATCTCAACAAAAATTCCGCAAAATAGTTTGCATCCCCATATTGCCTGCAAGGAATCTGAGACTCACAGCTGATGTGACCCAGAAAGCCACTAAGTGGAGAAGCTGTATTCAAATGCTGGTCTGCGCAGTTCCAAAGACTGCAATCTTTCACTGAGCCATAGTAGAAAATTAAAAAGGTCATAATTTGGGGGAATTGGGAGTAGAAATGTTTGGAGGATGAATGAAGTAGGTCATGGTTGGGGAAACCTTGGCAAGGTATATGAACAGTGAATCCAATGATCTTCATAGGTGCTGACAATCTTTTTACATAAAGGTAGTCAGATAGTCTCTGTTGCAATTATTAATCACCTGTTAGAATGGCCATCATCAAGAAAACGAGATAACAAGTATTGGAGAGACTGTAGAGAAAATGAAACTACTGGTAGGAATGTAAATGGATGCAGCGATCGTGGAAAATAGTATGGAGGCACCTCAAAAAATTAAAAATAGAACTACCATATGACCTAGCAATTTCACTTCTGAAGGATATGAAAACACTACCTCGAAGAGATAGCTGCACCCTTAAGTTCACTGCACCATTATTCACAATAGCCAAGACATGGAAGCAAACTAAGTGTCCATTGATGGAAGATTGGATGAAGAAGATATGATACATGGATACAATGGAATATTATTCAGCTAGGACAGGGATTGGCAAATTTTTGAGATGGAAGAGCTGCCAGGGGTCAGCAAACTGCGGCTCGTGTGCCACAGGCTCTGAAGTAAAATTAAAAATGAAATAAGGGCCTGCCGAGTGGCTCAGCTGGTTAAGAGTTCGCTTGGGAGCACCAGCTCTGAGCAGCAGGGCAGCGGTTGGGATCTCACACTGAGGGCCAGTGACGCTCGCTCTCTACAGCTAAGATGGTGAGCAACAGCTCGACCTGGAGCTGG